ACCAAACCAGTATTATATTAAATGTTGATGGGTATTCTTGAAGAAGAAGATAAAGAAATATAAACAAAACCACAGAACTTATATGCATGTATGCATGACCAATGGACATGGACAACTAAGCCGGGGACAGGGTGGAGGGGGGGTGGGGTGGGGGGTGCCAATGGGGTAAAAAGGTAAAATATCTGTAAGAAAAAAATAAATAAAAATTCATAGAAAAAAAAAAAAGAAATATAAACAATAAAATGACAATTAATACATATCAGCAATTGAATCTACAAACAAAATAAACAAGCAACAGAAACAGACTCATACATACAGAGAACTTTTTGTTGGTTGCCAGATGGGAGAGGAGTTGGGTGAAAAAGATGAAGGGATTAAGAAGTACAAATTGGTTCTTAGACTGATGAACCTCAAAGGGAAGGGAGGAGGTGGGACAGAAAGAGAGAAACCAAAGAACTTCTATGCATGTATGCATAACCAATAGACACAGACAATAGTGGGGGACAGGCAGGAGGGGGGTGGGAATGGGGAGGTGGGGGTCAAGGAGGAAAAAAAGGAGGGACATCTGCAATACATTCAAATATAAAGATGTTTAAAAAAATTTTTTTAAAAAGTAACATATTTGTGGAAAGCAGACGAATTCTAAATTATATTTGGAAGAATAAAGGTTCATGTGGTTCAAGAATAGCTACAAGTATGAACCATGAAAAGCAAAGAGCAGAGACTTCTCCCAGCACGTCACCACCTCCACCCGCTCCCTGGAATCCTTGCAACCTACGCTGCCGGCATGTCTCAAGCTGAGGTTGACAAAGCTACTGAGGATGTGAAACACCCTAAGAACAAGCCAGCAGACAATGAGATGTGGTTCATCTACAGCCGCTACAAACAAGCAACTGTGGGTGACATAAATACAGAACAACCTGGGATGATGGACCTCAAAGGCAAGGTCAGGCGGGCTGCCTGGAATGAGCTGAAAGGGACTTCCAAGGAAGACGCCATGAAAACTTACATCAACAAAGTAGAACTAAAAAAAAAGAATGTAGAGACTAGATTTGGCTGCCAGCCACGCATTTCATCTAAACTGACAATCATGCCTTGTTTTTCTAACACAGCGGATGAAGTGAAATAACATTAACTCTCTTTCTGAACACTGTCCAGGATACGGCCTTAACAGATTAAGGAGCGGAAATGATTACTCACCTTGCTGAGTAGTTTTTATCTATAGATCAATTAAAATGGCATTTTAAGAAAGAAAAGCAAAGAGCAGAGATTTGTCCTACCTGATATTAAGGCAAACTATAAACCCTTAATAATTAAAAACAATGTGGTCCTGGCAAGGGATCAAATAGGCAATGGAACAAAATAGAATCCAGGAAAGGACTCATGTATATACAAGAATTTGGTATATACAAAAGGTGGTAACATAAATCAGTGGAGAAAGAAGAAATCACTTATTTTGTAGAAAAATAAAATTAGATCCTTTCTGACAACATATACAGAATAAATACCTGCTATATTTAAAGACCTGACATGGACGGCAACACTGTAAAATTATATTAAAATGTAAAAAAAGCCCTGGTCAGTTTGGCTCAGCGGTTAGAGCATCGGCCTGCGGTCTGGAGAGACCTGGGTTCGGCTCCCGCTAAGGGCATGTACCTCGGTTGCAGTTTGTCCCCGGCCCTGGTTGGTTGTGCGGGTGGCGACCACTCGATGTGTCCCTTTCACATCGATGTTTCTCTCTCTCTCTGTTCCTCTCTCTCCCTCCCACTCTACCTGAACAAAAAATGGAAAAAGGTCCTTGGGTGAGGATGATTAAAAAAAAAAAAAAAAAAAGTAAAAAAAGCCCAGCTGGTGTGACTCAGTGGACTGACTGTTGTCCCATGGACTGAGAGGTGCTGGTCTGATTCCCAGTCAGGGCACATGCCTGGGTTTCGGGCTCAATCCCCAGTGGGGGGCATGCAGGAGACAGCCGATTGATGTATCTCTCTCACATCGATGTTTCTATCTCTCTCTCCCTTCCTCTCTCTATAAAATATAATTTAAAAATAAAATGTAAAAAATATTTTTATAACCCAGGGGTAGGGAAGAATTTATTAAATAAGATCCCAAATGCACACATCATAAAGGTACAATTTGATGGGTTTGACAAAAACCAAAATTAAATACTTTTTGGTTAGGGTTGAAGTATACTGATATCTGCAATTTACTTGGAAATACATAAAAACGAATGGATAAATGGATGGCTAGAGATGGATAGTTATATGGAATAAAGTAAATATAATAAAATAGTAATTGTAGAATCTAAGTGGTGGGAATATGGGTGTTCACCATACTAGTCTTCCAGCTTTTCTGTATGTATGAAATACTAAAAGGTGGTGAAAATTTGATACTTTTGTTCAACAAATATATTGTACATAAAGTTTTAAAAATTTGTGACTGACTGGAAAAGATATATACACACACAGATATAAAGTAATTTGCTATATATATATGTGTATACACTCAACATATCTGACATAAAACTTCTGTAACTGGCAAGAAAGACAAACAACCTACAAAAAATTTGCAAGATAGCCCGGCCGGTGTGGCTCAGTGGCTGAGCATCAACCCAGGCACCAAGAGGTCACCGGTTCGAATACTGGTCAGGGTACATGCCCAGGTTGTGGGCCGGATCCCCAGTGGGGGGCATGCAGGAGGCGGCCAATTGATGTTCTCTGTCATGGAGGTTTCTCTCTCCCTCTCCCTTCTTCTCTCTCTAAAATCAGTAAAGAAAAAAAATTGCAAGACAAATAAATAGGCGCCTCAGAGAATGAGAAAACAAATAGCTATATGTATAAAATAGAAGCTCAACCTCACCTGTAGTCAAGGAAATGCAAATTAAATTAAAAAGATACTGCCCTGGCCGGTTTGGCTCAGCGGTTAGAGCGTCGGCCTGCGCTCCTGAGAGACCCGGGTTCGGTTCCCGCTAAGGGCTTGTATCTCGGTTGCAGTTTGTCCCCGGCCCTGGTCGGTTGTGCGGGTGGCAGCCACTCGATGTGTCCCTTTCACATTGATGTTTCTCTCTCTCTCTATCTGTTCCTCTCACTCCCTCCCACTCTACCTGAACAAAAAATGGAAAAATATCCTCCGGTGAGGATAAAAAAAAAAAGATACTACTTGAAGCTCCTGGATTGGCAAAAATTAAGATGTTATGTGTTATTAGGACTGGCAATGATATGAAGAAATAGAAATTGTCCTGGCCAGTTTGGCTTAGTACTTAGAACATCAGCCCATGGACCCAAGGGTTTCGGGTTCGATACATCTGGGTTGCAGATTTGGTCCCCAGCCTCGGTCACGGTCGTGTGGGAGGCAAGCAATCAATGTCTTTCTTTATGTCTCTCCTCACCCCTTCTATTCTATCTAAAAATCAATGGAAAATATCCTCGGGTGAGGATTAACAACAACAAAAAAACCTTATGCATTGTTCATAGAACTATAAATTAGTACATATGTAATCTAGACTAATTTGTCAATATTTGCTGAAAAACCTATATGCACATTTTACAGGATCCAGGAATTCTACTCTGAGTATATACTTCAGATAAACTGACACAGGAACACAAAGAGAGAGATCTACGAAGATATTCCCTGCAGCACTATTTGTAATATCCAAGAACTGGAAATAACTATCAATTGAAAAATTAAACACAGTTGACCCTTAAACAACACAGAAGAAGTTAGGGGTGCAGACCTCCTGCAGAGCTGAAAACTCCATGTACAACTTTTGACTTCCCAAAAACCTAATTACTAATAATAGTCTACTATTGACCAAAAGCCTTACTGATCACATAGTCGATTACACATATTTTGTATATTATATGTATTATATATTGTATTCTGACAATTAAGTAATCTAGAGAAAATGTTATTAAGAAAACCAAAAGGAAAGTAAAATATATTTATAGTATTGAAAAAAAAATCAGTACAGAAACAGACCTGTGCAGTTAAAATTCATATAGTTCAAGGGTCAACTGTACTATGTGATATTAGTATTTTTTAAAATATGTTTTTATTGCCCTGGCCGGTTTTGCTTAGTGGTTAGATCATCAGCCCACAGACCAATGATTCGCAGGTTCAATTCTGGTCAAGAGCACGTACCTTGGTTGCGGTTCGTTCCCTGGTTGGGTCGTGCAAGGCAACCAGTCGATATGGCTCTATCACATCAATGTTTTTTTCTGTCTCTCTCTCCCTCCCTCCCACTCTATGTGATGATAAACAGAAAAGTATCCTCTGATGAGGAATAAAAAAATATATGTTGTTATTGATTTTTTTAGTGAGAGAGAGAGAGAAACATCAATGTGAGAGCAAAACATCGATTGGCTGCCTCCTGCACATCCTCTACTGGGAATCCAGCCCACAACCCAGGCATGTGCCCTGACCGGGAATGGAACTGGGATCTCCAGTCCATGGGACGACGCTCAATCAACTGAGCCACACCAGCCAGGCTGCGATATTAGTATTTGATGGAACATAATCCAGCAGTCAACAGGAGTGAACCATACACGAATATGGATGGATCTCAAAAATACACCGAAAGAAAAAAGAAATAAAATGTGTAGCACAGTATCTTTCATGTAAAAAAGGAAAAGAAACCTACACATACGAATGATACTACAGACCGTGCCTGGAGAGTATCTAAATAAATATATGGGAGACGGCTTAGAAAGACACATATCAAATGTCCCAGAGTAGATAACTATGGGTAGAGAGAAAAAAAGAACTGGATCAGGAATAAAGGCTAAAAGGGACAAAAAACCATATATAAAAGCAAATATAAAAGGTCATGCATGGACCGAGAAAGAGAGATCATAAACTGAGGAGACTGTCATAGCAAACAATTTCAGTGTTAAATATAAAACAAAAACATCCCCACCCCAAACACCATAAAAACATTTAATTAAAGGAAATGTCCAAAAAATAAGAGAGAAATGTCCTAGCTACCTCCCTGTCACATGGCTTACCGGAGTACACAGCACATGAGCAGCAGATGGGTGGGCACATTAGCTGGATTGAGCATACTGGGTGTATCTGACTTCATACAGGCCAGGAAGGCCCTCATCCTTCTGTTCTTGTCCTCAACTGCTTTGCCTAGCCAGAGCTTCTTGAGGTTTGGGCAAGTCCACTCCCGAAATGTCAGCGCAGAAACCAGCTCTGGAGTTTGAGGTGACTTCCCTTTATAGGCAGACCACTCTTTAAGGATCACTGAAGGAGCTGGAAAATAAAAAGTGAGGAAAAACAGGCTCTATAGAATCTCTGAGCATTTCTGCAGCTGGTCACAATAGACAGGATCAATCACATTTCAACATCCTTTTATTTTTGTTGTTATAATTTTTATTGTTAGCAGCAGAGGTAGTAAGCATTCCTCAGAACAATCCTGAGAAGTATTATGACTATACATATTATCACAAAACGTAGTGCTCATTTTGCAGATGAAGAAATCAAAGCAAAATGTTCTTAACAACTTTGAAATTCATTTCTTAAGTAACCGTACCAGCCTAGGCAAGGAAAGAAGTCCAGAAATAATTATGTGACTACCTGGCTTCATAACAGACTACAGAACACCCTAAAAGAATTTTAAAGAATTACACAAAACTCCCCAAAAAGCCAACCTCTTTTAAATGGACAAAGGTACCCAGCAAGTGTGGCTCAGTGGACTGAGGGTTGTCCCATGGACTAAGAGGTCCTAGTTTGATTCCAGGTCAGAGCACATGCCTGGGTTGTGGGCTCGATCAGCAGGGGACATGCAGGAGGCTGCCAATCGATGTTTCTCTCTCACAGTAACGTTTCTCTCGCTCCCTTCCTCTCTCTCTAAAAAATCCATAAAAACATATTAAAATAAATAAATAAATAAATTGACAAAGGTGTAACAAATAAGGAACCATGGTTTCTGTCAAGATGTCTGGTTGTCTATTCAGTTACCCAAGCTAGAAACCTGTAAGTCAACCTAGAGTCCGTGTTTTCCATCACCTCTTACACATCTGGTTATTCCCAAGGTCCTATTGATTCTACTACTTTATCATCTTTTATCTGTTCCCTTTTGACAAATATTGTAGAGATCCAGATCTTACCATTTTTCACCTGAAAAGAGACTTAGACTGTTGTCCCTGCCTTAACTTAATCCTGCCTGGTCCCCCTCACACCCATGTTCCACAGCCACTAGAGTGCTCTACGCAGAGCTATTTCATCATCACAAAGATCTCTCTTATGCTACCCCTTTTATGGTCACACCCCGTGCTCTCCAGGACCACCCCATCCCTGGCAATCACTAACCTGTTCTCCAACTCTATCATTTTGTCCATTTGAGAATGTTATATAAATAGAATCATACAGTATGTAATCTTTTGAGACTGGCATTTTCACTCAGCATAACGCCCTTGAGATCCACCCATGTTGTTGCATATATCAACAGTTCATTCTTCTTTTGCCAAATATTATTCTATGATATGGATGTACCACAGTTTAACCATTCATCTTTTGAAGGATATCTCAGTTGTTTCATTGGGGCTACTATGAATAAAGCTGTTATTGTACCTGATACTGTACTTTGTGTACAAGTTCCTGAATTTCTCTGGGATAAATGCCCAAAAGTATAAGCACTGGGTTGTATGATAAGCTCATTTTTAGTTTTGAAAGGAACTACCAAATTATTTCCCAGAGTAGTGGTACTATTTTATATTCCCACCAGCAATTTACAAATGATCAGTTTCTCCACATCCAATCCAGCATATGGTATTATCACCATTATTCATTTTAGCCATTCTGATAGGTATGTAGTAATAATACTTCATTGTTGTTTCAATTTGCATTTCTCTAATGGCTAATAATGAACATCTGTTCTTATCTATTATCTGTCTCATGCATATCTTCTTCAGTGAAATGTCAGTACATGTCTTGATCTTCTAATTGGATTGTTTTTATAATGTTCAGTTTTTGTTTTGTTTTTTTATCCTCACCCGAGGATATTTTTCCATTTTTTGTACAGATAGAGTGGGAGGGAGAGAGAGGAAGAGAGAGAGAGAAACATCGACGTGAAGGGACACATCGAGTGGCTGCCACCCGCACGACCAACCAGGGCCGGGGACAAACTGCAACCAAAGTATGTGCCCTTAGCGGGAACCGAACCCGGGTCTCTCAGGACCGCAGGCCGACGCTCTAACCGCTGAGCCAAATTGGCCAGGGCATGTTCAGTTTTTTTTTTTTAAATATTTTTTTTCTTTGCTGATTTTAGAAAGAGAGGAAGGGAGAAGGAGAGAGAGATAGAAACATCAATGAGAGAGAACACTGATTGGCCCCCCTCTGCATGCCCCCCACTGGGGATCAGGCCCACAACCTGGGCATGTGTCCTGACCGGGAATTGAACTGGCGACCTCTTGGTGCATGGATCCATGCTCAACCACTGAGCGATACCAGCTGGGCATAATGTTCAGTTTTGAGAGTTCTTTATATATGTTAGATGCTAGTCTAGATATGTGGTACTTATTCATCTTTGGATGTCCAATGGATCCAGTACCATTTGTGAAAAAGACTACTTCCTCCAATGAAGTGCTTCTGTAGTTTTGTCAAAAATCAGTTGGCTGTACTTGTATCGGGCTATTTCTGCATTCCCTATTCTGTTCCATTGATCTGTGTGTCTACATCACTGCCAATACGAGTCTTTTGTTAAAAACTTAAAAATATTTTTCATTTAGAAAAGTATTTAGAACACATAAAACAAAGCAATGTTTATTCTTTTTTCTCTGGTATGGGATCTATTGGTGGCTCCTCCATTCTTTCATGATTGCTCTCCAAGCCGGTGCTATAGTTACTACTCTTTTCCTCTGCCATACTGTCTGCTCTCCTTGCCCTCAGGAGTAGACGTGCCTTCTTCACCATTCTGTGGGCTTTCCACTGTTTCTTCAAGGTGTGTCTCCTCTGTTTCCACCGGAACGCTCTCGTCTTCTCCCTTTTCTTCAGTCTTAAATTAGCTGCTTGCTCTTCCTCAGGAAGAACACTGCTCCGACTGTGTAGCTTGCTCTGCTGCCTCCTTCTTCCTTTCCTCCTGCCTTTTGTGAGCCTGTTCCTCTGTTTGTGTAATTTCAGCTGCAATTTTTCCCATGTCCACTTCTACTTTCAAACTGCATAATCTTTTAAGTTCATTGTTAAATTAGTATGTGCTTTCCAGGATTTTCCTCTTCTTTTCCTGGTATTGTGCCTTTATTTGGAGAAGTTCAGCTTCCACTTTTCATTGATGTACCATTAAGGACTGGATCTGTCGTTTGAAGACTTGCATTCTAGCTGTTGTGATAACTGATTGAACGTCTGGCACTGTACTCTCACTAAGGAGTTCACTGATAAGGTAGTGGATTTTCTGGAAATAGGCAGTGGCCATATGCTGCACTGAAAAGCCATCATTATAATCACCTGGATCTTCAGCAGGCTGAATGTTCATATAAGGTTCTCCTTTCTCCACGCAAGACTGCCTGTTGACTTTCTTCCTCTAAAGGAGCTTCTGCATGATTTTTGAATTTATGTAAGGAAGGTATGTGGAGGAATTATGGTAGGCCTTCACAGATTCGTTGTACTCAATCTTTTCTGCTTCATATTCATTTAAATATTCTTTTTTTCTCACTCATGAGATTTCACCGCATGCCACCAATAATCTTGCCAATCTCTCACAACTTTGGGTCAGGGCTAGAAGCCATTACATGGTCCCAGACCTTTCTGCTGTACCGCATGTAGGACATCAGCTTTGAGGATTTGGGGATTGTCATACCAGAGGAGGCTGTGACCCAGCTGCTGGTGCCTGGGTTTCCCCCCAGACTGCAGTTGTAGGTGAGATGACTGTATGGATTGTATCCCACAAACCTTGATGTGCTGGGCATTTGTGTTGCAGGAACTGGGGTGGAAGGTGGGGCATTAGATGGTCTTTTTGACATTTTGGAAGATTAAGTTCTCAGTTCCTCAAGAATGAACCTGAGACACCGTGGGCAGAAAAAACACCTGCAGCTCTGGCTTCGCTTCCCTTTGTCTAGAGCATGCCTTGCCCCTCCCACAGCCTTAATTATTATAGCTACATAAGTCTTATAGTCAGGTAGAGTGATTGCTCCCAATTTATTATTCCTTTTCATAAATGTTTTAGCTATTTAATTCATCATTCCATACAAACATTAGAATATTCTGCTGAGATTTTGATAGGAATTGTGTTAAGCCTGTGTATCAATTTGGGGAGAATTGACATCTTTCTATGTTGAGTCTTCCAATTCACATACAACTATGTCTCTCCATTTGTGTAGGGCTTCACTGATTTCTTTCATCAGCATTTTGTAATTCTCAGCATATAGATACGGAACATCTTTTGTTCAATATATACCTAAGTACTTCATTTTCTTTGGAGAACTCTAAATGGTATTGCATTTGATATGTCAGTTTCACATACTCATTGTTAGTATACAGAAATACAATCAATTTCTCTATGCTTATTTTAAATTCTACAACCCTGATAAACTCACTTATCAAGTCTAGAAGTTTTGCTGTAGATTCCTTATCATTTTTACATACACGATGTCATCTGCAACTGGGGACAGCTTTATTTCTTCCTTTCTGATTTGTATGTCTTCTATTTCATTTTCTTGCCTTCCTATGCTGGTTGGAACTTCCACTACTGTGTCGAAAAGCTAAGGTTAAGGGTAGACATCGTAGTCTTGTTCCTGATTTTAGTAGAAAAACATTCCATCTTTCACCATTAAGTATAATGTTAGCTGTAGGGTTTTGTAGAGGTTCTTTATCAAGTTGAAGAAATTGCCCTCTATTCCTAATTTTCTGAGTTGCTTTTACCATGAATGGTTGTCAAATTCTGTCAAATGTTTCCCTGAATCCATAGAGATGATCATATTATTTTTCTTCTTTCATCTGTTTATATGGTAGATTACATTGATTTTTTTTTTCAAATTTCGAACCAGCCTTGCAACCACGGAATAAACCCTACTTGGCCATTGTTTTAATAAAGTGCTGAATTCTATTGACTAATATTTTGTTAAGATTTTTTAAATCTATACTGATCGGTCTAAAGTGTTGTTTTAACGTACTGTCTTGATCTGGTTTTAGTATTGGGATAATACTGACTTCACAGAATGAGTTGGGAAGTGTTTTCTCCTAGTTTCTGAAAAAGAATGTGAAGCATTTATGTTAATTCTTTGTTAAACATTTGGGAAAACCCTGCAGTGAAACCAATTGAGCAAGATTTCTTTTCTGGAAAGTCTCAAATCAAATTTCATTAATATAGGGTTATTAAAATTATCTATGTCATATTAGATGAGTTGTGGTAGTTTGTATATTTTGAGAAACGGTCCATTTTGTCTAAGTTGTCAAATTTATGTATTAGAGTTGTTTATAGTATTCCCATATCAAACTAGATGTCTGCAGGCTTTGTGGTGATAGCCTGCCTCAGTATTAGCAATTTGTGTCTTTTCTATTTTTCTCTTTGTAGTCTTGCTACAAGTTTGTACATTTTATTGTTCTTTTCAAAGAATCAGGTTTCTCTTAAATTTTTTGTTTTGTTTTGCTATATCAACTGATTTGGCTCTTTACTATTTTTAATTTGTATCAAGCATGTCCACAATTATCTGTCAAAGCATTTTTATGATGGCTGATTTGAAATCCTTGTCAGGTATTTCAAACATCTGTGTCATCTCAATGTTGATGTTTATTTATTTTCTTTCCTTGGTCAGTCTGAGATCTGTTTGAAATCTTTCTGGTTTTTGGTATGATGATAAAATTTTCAGTTGAAACATGGACATTTTGGGTAATAAATCTTGTATTTTAGCATGTCTTTTCTGACATCACTCCGGTGGCTTAAGGGGGATGCTGCCTACTTCCAAGTGGGAGTGGAAGTCCTGGCTCCGTACTGGGCCTTGTCTGATACCCCAACAGGAACAGGTGAGGCACCTTATTACAGCCGGGCAAGGGTAGAAGGAGTCTCGGCTCTTCATTAAGCCTTTGCTGGTGGGGGTAGAAGTAGGCTGCAGATTTTATGTGATGTTTGGCTAAAATAGAGTGGTTATTATCTCAAAAGTGTATGCACTGCTAGTGTGTTCCTTTTAGGTCCTTTGGCTAGAGAAAGCAGGCTTTTCATTGGTCCACACCTGTTAGCATTTCTGGGCTGCCAGCATGTCCCACACCCAGTCTGGAATATATGAATCAAAAGTAATCTCAAGGTCCTTAGCCAGCCTGCCTTTTTCTCTTCACCTTCTAGGGCGCCTAGAACTTATTTCATATATAATATCCTGGGCTTTACACTGTATTTAGCAGAAAGAATAAGAAAAAGTATATCTACTCCCTCTTCCAAGAAGCAGAAAATCTAGAAGGTTCCTTTGAACACACTAATTTGACCATGTCACTCTGCAGCTTAAAAACATCTCAATGGCTCCAATTAGCTTCAGGATCAAGTTCCAAAACAAAAAGCTCACTGAAGAGGAATGACTGTGTCATATACACCTCTGCATTCCTAAAGGCCCACATGGTTCTTGTAAAAAGTAGTCACTCTGAATGTTTAATGGTTAAAGAACCGGGCATGTTAATGCATTCCCCATACCAAAAAGTATCCTGATGAAGTACACATGTCCTCAAAGACTGCTCCAAAGCCAAAAGTATCATGTGCTTGCACAGACATTTTTGCTCTGCATCAACTATGGAGAGATCTGTCAAAGCCTGAACTACCCTTACCTTCCACAGGCAGCCGTCGCCGCATGGCCAGGCGTTCCAGTTTCCGCTGTGTCTCTGCCAGACTGAACAGGACTCCGTATACATACTGACGAGCTGACCGGAACAGGATAGCAGCTGGAGGCAGCTCCATGTTGCACTCATCCTCAATACATACAGGGATCTTAATCTCACCCTAATAAGAAAATGGTCCAGAGGAAAAGAGAAAATGAGTTACCTCAAGGTTTGGAATTGAGCTGAGAAGAACCAATAAGGAATTGTAGTCTAATCACTAAATTTTTTTACCTGTATTTAGATGGACTTTCAGACTAAAAAGAAGCTATAACAAGCCCAGCTGACCATAGCCAGCTTCAAAGCTATGTTCCATTTTTAAAGTCTTTGCTATAACTGACTAGCTGACTAAATGGGGAAAGTCCATCTCAGACATTTTGCTAAGGGATGCATTTGTATGGAGGGGAACAGCTCTGGAGAAGTAGAGGAAGAGGCAAAGAACAGGAGCATAAAGCCTCTTCTTATATTGCATTCACCCCTAGACCAGAATCTACCAAGTTGGTGTATCTTCTTTGAAATCTCACAATTACACTTCTTGGGGCCTCATTTACTGTGCAATCCCATCTTCTGCTGGCCTCGCTTCACCTAAGAACCTTATTAATACAACGAGAGGCCCCAGCACACTTGGTCTTTTTTATATCCCTTCAGATACCCATAATCAGAATTTTGTCTGGTAACTTACAGTTCTAGGAAGTGTGAAGTACACTGTCAAGAGCAGGGAGGTAGGTAGGTACTGAGGTGCTCTCTTACCTTAGTGAGGACATGGTAGATATATGGGTACATAAGACCTCTTCGGTGTCTGTGTTCGGCAATCCGCAAGACTTCTGGAGCTACTGCAGGTAAGGGCGGAATGGTGATATCCATGTGGTTTCGCGTAGACATAGAAAGCAGAGATGGGATGTGGGGCTCACCATCACCTAGGGTAGCACCTGAAACTCCAGCATCAATAGGCCGTACCCAGGGCCCTCTGTCACCATTTGGATTCTTCCATCCAGGCTGCTGATGAAATGTTTCTGTGACGTGACTGAAAAATTGAGAAAGACGATGTAAAAAGAAAAAGGAGGTTGATAAAGATATTCTAACTCAAGATGTCTGTTCTGATCTCAAGGAACCTTACAAACCCTCTGGAAGTTAGGACACTGGGTTAGCTATGGACTTGATATCTTTCCACCCAGTGGCCATCACCATCCTCCTTTCATGACACAAACCAAAGTGATCAAAAGTTGGGAACCATTCTGAATCCTTTGCACCATGTAAGAGACCATGGTTAGAGTCTGATTATGTTCTAAGAAAATAATTACAATGGAAACTTCAAAGCAACCTATTTCCCATGAATAATCTACTTAGATGAATAATCTAAGAAGAAATGAGCTAGTACAAAATGCCACTATTTTAATCCTCAGAACCCTGTCTGAGTTACTAAGAATATAAATGCCTACTCAACTATTCCAATACTTCCACTCTATAAATTATTTTCATTTTTTTTTTACATTCAGTCTACTCCCCTCACAAATTGAGAAACGACAGCCATGGCATGTAGCATGCCCATACCAGGGCTTCCCTAACCAGCTGCTATGCTGCCTTTTACCTTCATGGCCTGGGTACCTGAAAATTACCACCTGTCTAGGGTCAAAATGAGCATGAAGTGACCAAGCAAAGAGAGAGTTAAGGGCAAAGAGTCACAGAGAAAGGCCAGAACATAATCTCTTCCCCACACCCCTGTCCAGGTTAGCAGTAAAAGAATAAAGATGCTTCAGAAGTCTGTTCCCTTGGGTGCCTATACAGATACTTACTCAGAGCCGACTCCATTTGGCTCATCACCATCAGTAGAAGAAGAGTGGGAAGAGTCTTGTCCCAGAGGCGAGGCTTTGGAAGTCAGGTAACTGGGAAACTGTGATGAGTCATAAGAAACAGCCCAACTGGCAAAGGGGTTGTCTTCCAGCACGGGATTCTCAGGAAAAGCATGGGATTCCCCCAAAGCATGGGGGGAGAAGAGAAGAGAGGAGTTGGGTCCAAATGGGAATGGTGGTGGATATTTTATTTTCTGGGGTACATGTTGAGGAAACTAAAACATAAAACAGACAGAAAAGCTCTTTAACATTTTATCAGGCTCCAAGATGGTTCCCTCAAAAGTTGTGACATAGTGGGCGATTGCAGCAGCAAGGATTATTGAGATACAAAGAACCTACTGAGAACAACAAGAAATAAGTCTAACAGTGATGTATGGACAGAATTCTCTAGAGACAGGACAATGGACCAGTCCATGTCTCCTAGAACCGCTCTCCAACATCAGCTAATCTACCTTCGCAATGCCCTACTACTTACTGATTTGGATGTTTTCTTTATGGTCTGCTAGCCTCAAACTGAGAATGTGATACAGGTATATACAGTCTTGACATTCTAATTACACTGAATCACCCTAAGTCCTTATCTCAGATTATAAAAATCAGGAAGCCACCTATGTCTAATGCTAACAAATGGTCTCACGCCTCTTAAAAGATACTTACCATTGGCTTCCCAGTAGAAAAAGTGCCCATTTGACTTCGTGGAAGGGGAGGATTTGCAAGCCGATTATTACGAAAACCTGAAGCCAAGAGAAAGGGCCATTATTTTAGGTAATACTAATAATTCTACCATGTTATATTCTGCTAACCCCATAACACCTGAAAAATTATTATTGAATAGCTCTTATGCGTCATGCCAAGAATTTTACATAAATTATTTCATCTGATAACAACCCTATACAGTAGGTATCATGAGCCACCTTTCATACAAATGTGACTTGCCAAGATCACACAGCTAGTAAACAGCAGAGGTGGAATTCGAACTCAGGCCTCACACCACAGATAGGGCTATTTTACATATACTAGGGCCACAATGGAAGGTAGCAACAGAAGATGCCCAAGCTAAGAAAACAGCATTGGACCCCATCTAAAAATTTGAGAAATCGGGGCCCTGTCTCATGTCACCTCTCTTATTACATGGAAATCAAAAGGAGAATGTCTACCAAACAGGAATGACTTCTAGGAGGATGCAATACAAACAAGTGTCTCTACTCTAGCCCAGGAGTTTCTAAGGGACTACCTCAGTTTCCTCTATGGACAGAGCAGCTCTGGGTCAGATGGAAGCCTTACCTAGAAAGGAGGAGGAACCCACTGGCAGCGTAGAGAGTTTGGTTGTGACTGAATAGTACTCAACTGCTTTCTTGAATCGTTCTATTTTATCTTCCGTCCTAGACTGGATGTTGCAACATCAGATGTTCAGAAGAAGAAATAACACGAGAGTATCTTTTTCATGCAATTTATAATTTGAGAGTCAAAACAGTAGCAGAAATCAAATATTTAAAGAAACCCAAGGAAGCAATTTTTCATGTTGCAGGAAAGATTAGATAAAGAGAAAGCATTATAGAACATAAAATCTGGGAAAAGTTTAAAAATAAATTTAAAAGTTTACTTAAATTTTGTGCTCTTCTAAAATAGTCACATGAGCATTAGAAAAATATATAAGGATGGGGGGAAATTACATAGTACCACCACCGAAAGATATTTTGGTGTGTTTTCTCCGCCCAGTATTTTTTAAAATAAAGGTTTTTTGTTTTTTTTCCAGATCTTGGCTATTGTAAATAATGCTGTGATGAACATTATTCTTTCTGATTGGTGTTTCTAGATTCTTAGGATATATTCCCAGAATTGGGATTGCTGGGTCAAAAGGCAGTTCCAATTTTAATTTTTTGAGGAAACTCCATAATGTTTTCCACAGTGGCTGCACCAGTCTGCATTCTCACCAGCAGTGTACTAGGGTTCTCTTTTCTCCACATCCTCGCCAGCACTGGTTGTTTGTTGATTTATTGATGGTAGACATTCTGACAGGTGTGAGGTGATATCTTATTGTGGTTTTAATTTTCATTTCTCTGATGATTAGTGACGTTGAGCATTTTTTTATGTGTCTATTTGCCATCTGTATGTCCTCTTTGGACAAAACAGAACCAGAGGCATGGATACGTGGAACAGACTGACAGAGGTCAGAGGGGAGGGGGAGGGGGGGCTTGGATGAAAGGTGAAGAGATTAGCCAAATAATATATACATACAGCCCATAGACAAAGACAACTGTGGTGATGGCCGGCGGGCCAGCTGGGCTGGGTGTAGGTGGGTAAAGGGTGGGGGGAATTGTGGGACATCTGTAATAATGTCAAAACTAAATAAATAAATAAATAAATAAAATTTGTTACTTAAAGAAAACTTTTTGAAGTATATAGCTGCACTATTTTGATGCACCTATTCTTCTATAGTTAATACGTCACTCTACAATTGTGTATCCTCCTTTTATTACATAAGATGATTTTGAATGGCTACATATTTTATCATTATATATAATATATCATAAATTATGTATCTACTTCCCTAACACCTGACATTTACGTTATTTCTCACTTAGAAAGTGAGAAAATATTTATTTGGCTTTTATAAGTTATACAGCAAAGAACATATAAAGATTTTCTGGATTTCAGATTGTCCTTAGGAAAATGTCCCCAAAGTGAAATAACTGGTTCAAAAGGTATGAGCATTAAAACCAAAAGCACTTAAACATATACAAAACCACAATGTGACATCATTATATTTCCACAGAATGGCTAAAATTAAAGATTATAAATATCAGCACTGGCAAATGGAGTAACTGGAATTCCAGGAGACTGCTGGTAGGTATATTTTGGTACAGTTTGGAAAACAGTTTGGAGTTTTTTAGAAAGTTAAACAGATATTTACCACATGGCACAATAATCCTATTCTTAAGTAATTTACCCAGGAGAAATGAGTACATTTGTTCACCAAAAAATATGAATAAAAATGCTAACAGCTTTATTCATAATAGCCCTAAACTGGAAATTACACAGATGCATATATCAACAGAAGAATGGATAAATTGTGGTATAGTCTTACAATGAAATATTATATAGTAATAAAAAAGAACAAAGTGCTGATACATGCAATGCTATGGATAAATCTCAAAGACATACTGAGTGAAAGAAAACAGACACAAAGGAGTACATAAAAGTTCAAGTAGAAGCAAAACTAATCTGTGGCAATAGAAGTACAATTGCTGTTTACCTCTGTGGGGTTGGGGCTGACTGAGAAAGGGTTTTTCTTATCAAGCCTTTTCTAACGTAATTTAAAAATCTCCTTGAACATAATTTTATGATCTTCATAATCCATCATATGGAATATAAGATACTAAAGTCATTTCTAATTTCTCATTATAAATAATGCTCTGATAAGCATATTATATTGTTAACATAAGTTTCCTGGGCTATTTCATAGGGCAAATTCTTAGAAGTAGAATTACTAGGTCAAAGGATATGGTCATTTTTATAGACTCTTGACACATGATACTAAATCTCTTTCCAGAACAGATATCAGAGTTATACTTTCATCATCAATGCATGAGAGTACCCAGTTCACCATGTAGCCCCAAGTGCTATTTTCTACAAAAAAACCCCAACTGTATTTGCGCGCCTCCAGCCTCACTTAGAAACAAAATCACCCTGCTTTCTAAAAAAAAAATTGGAACTTAATATAATTGTTTAAAAAAAGGGTTCCATGTCTAAAGAATGTTTGCAAATTACACTGACTTACAGAATATCTACAAGGTTGAATAACGTTTCATTGTATCAGGTTTCATTATATATGTATTATTATTTCATTAGCATATTCAATAATACACATAATTGAAAACGATCACCTAAAAGATAAAAGCTATACAGAGTCTTCCCTAATATCTCTACGTCTGTGCTCAGTCCCTTTCCCAGAAGTGATCACTGTTACCAGTTTGGTATATGTCCTGTCATACCTTTTGCTGTATGTACAAGAGTTTTGTTGTTTTCTCATAAATGAAATCACACCATGTTTCAACCTGCTTTTTGTACTTAACAATATGTCTTGTAAACTATTCACTGTCAGTGAGTATAGGTCTATGATGCAATCCCCTGTAATACGAATTATGTATACTTCCCTCAATGTACCACTCTGTTCAGTAGCCTGACAAACATTTACTTTTCCTTCGAGGGGCACCACTTGTATAAAACCTTTCCTTTCTAGGACACATTTATTGTGTTTTTAATTTGTTGTGCTTATTTGCTTCTGTCTCCCAATTTAACCTCAAGTTCTGTGAGGACAAAGAATGATTTATTCACATTTATGTCAGTGTCAAGCATGGGACCGTGCCTATAGAGGACCATTTAGTATTTGATATATGATCACATTTAATAAAGTCTTATCCTTTTCTCTTATAGATCCATAAAGGTGATGTTTACAAAAATGATAGGGCAACAAATAAAAGCAGTTAAGACATAATATTAAGTGAAAAAAAAGTACGTTAAAAATTTTGACTACCACAACACATCAAAACACACATATAAAAGGAGACAGGAAACTGTAAACAATTTAGGATGGAATTGAGAAAAAAACTCTTAATTTTTTGTTCCTGTTTTAAAATTAAAAAATGGACAACAGTGTGGTGATTACTAAGGGAATAGGGGTATGGGAGGTGGTGGAGGAAGATATAGAGGGGATAAATGGTGATGAAAGGAGACTCGACTTGGGATTGTGAATATACAATCTAGTGTACAGATGATATGTTGTGGAACTGTGCACCTGAAACTTTGTATAGTTTTGTTAACCAGTGTCACACCGACTAAAAAAAATTATGGCCTTAAAAATAGAAGGAGATCCTTGTTATTAAGAACAGTCATTATCGCCAGCTGGTGGGCTCAGTGGACTGAGCATCAACCCATCGATTCCCTGTCAAAGCACATGCCCAGCTGGAGGGCTCGATGCCCAACTGGGGGCATGCAGGAGGCAGCAAATCAATGTTTCTATCTTTCTCCCCGTTCCTCTCTTTCTCAAAAAAAAAAAAAAAAAAAAAAACCATAAAAAAAGAGTAGTCATTATCCAAGTTCCAAAATTCATGAAGCTACAAAGGGAGGCAAAAGCTACAGCATTAAAATGTTCAACTGAACCCTGGCCAGTTTTGTTCAGTGGTTAGAGCACCAGCCCGTAGAATAAAGGGCCATGGGTTCCATTCTGGTCAGTCAGTGTGACTCTCTCATGTCAATGTTTCTTTCTCTCTCTCTATCTCTCCCTCCCTCCCTCCCTCTCCCCCCTTCCCTTCTACTCTATCTAAAAATCAATGGAGAAGTATCCTTAGGTGATGATTAACAACAAATAATAATAATTATAAAAATATTCAACTGAGCAATTATAAAATTTTTCCTCCATCTGCATACAATGTAATATTATTCAGCCTTAAAAGGGAAGAAAATTCTGACACATGCTACAACATAAATGAACCTTGAGGATATTATGTTAAATAAAATAAGCCAGTTGCAAAAGGACAAATACTGTATGATTCCATTTATATGAGGTACCTAAAGTAGTCAAAATAGTAAAGAAAGAAAATAGAATGGTGCTCTGGGGGAGAGGCTGTGGGAAAGGAGAAGAGTTGGGGCTTATTTAATGATCATCGAGTTTCACTTTTACAAGATAGAATTATGAAGATGGATGATGGTGGGAGGTTGTACAACATTATGAATGTATTTACTACCACTGAACTATACGCAAAATTGTTATAATGGTAAATTTTATGTTATGTGTATTTTACCACCATAAAAAAATTGGAAGGAAAATTTATTCTTCATCTCAACAACATCCCCTACTTAACACTAGCATTTATCCCTACCCAACATGTCAATTTCTTTCTTTGTGGGTCAGTCTCTTCCTAATTGTCTGATGTAAACAGCTGTAAGTACAATGCAAAGCAACAAAGTGAATGCGCAAATCTGTCATAAAAGTCAAGAATTCCTAAAGTCAAGGAAAATAATGGAGTATTGCTCACATCATGCTAGAAACCACCAACAATGAGGATCTGGTGCAGTCAATGTTCAACAATGGTGGAAGGGTAGAGAAGAGAATTAGGAAAGATGATGGCAGGAAAGGCACTTGAAAAGAAAATAATTTGAATATCACAAGAATGTAAGTCCTTTGGGGAAAAAAGCCCAAATATACATTTGATTAAAAAAATCAACCCCCTTTATGCTAGAAAGTTAAATGCGAAGTAATGGGTATAACAAAATTTTGTTAGAAAAACTTATACCTCCGATACCAAACACCAATTTCATTCTTTATTCATTTAAAGAAATCTACAGAGCCCGGCTGGTGTGGCTCAGTGGACTAAGTGTCCTCCC